TGGTGCGCTAGTCATATCATATCCACAGTCAAGATCAGAAAAAAATGGAAAGAAGGCATCCTTCCTGGTTGTTAAAGGCAGTCTCTGAAGCTTGCTGAGCTAGCTTTCTCCTCTCATACTGTTCTGGGACCCCTACCTATGCAATGATGATGTTGCCCATAATGGGCTCATCTTTCTACATCATTTAACATAATCAAAATAATCCCCCAGAGACAAGACCACCACAGGCCAACCTGATACAGGCAACTCCTCAGTAAGACCCTCTTTCCCAAGTGCCCTGGTTGGGGTTTTCTGTCGACTTGACATAATATAGAGTTATCTGAGAAACTTCAATTGAGAAAATGCTTCCATCATATTGCCTATAGGCAAATCTGTAGGGTGAGTTGTATGTATATCTGTACCCACATATATACCTGGGATCTTCTTTGAGGTCCTGAGCCAGCACTCTCAGCAGCACCTGAGGATCTGTGGCAATGCAGATCCTAGGCTCCTCACCAGACTTACTGAATCAGAGACCCTGGGGTAGGAGCTAGCCTTGTGAATTTTAAAAGACCTTGCGGGTATTTCGGTCCCCAGTCATGTTTGAGGACGGTTGTTATACAAGCTATGATGTTAAGAAGATGGCTGCCACTCAAACTGACAGGTGTAATTGTTTTGTTTATCATGCCTCTTATCAAAGTGCCAAACAGTATCAACAAACCAGCGGCATTGCTATATTTTCCCAAGTCTCGGGTTTTTTCCTCTGATAAAATTAGACATGTTTAATGTCTTGGGTTCAAGGAAGGCTGATTTTAGCCCTGTGTGTTATCACTTGTTTGTGCTCAGTCCCTTCTATTTATTTCTTTTAATTTTATGTGTATCAGTGTTTTGTCTACATGTATACATGTGTGTCACATGTGTGCCTGGTACCAAAGAAAGAGAGCATCAAATACCCTGGAACTGTAGTTGCAGGTCCTTGTGAGCCATCAGGTGGGTGCTGGGAATTGAACCCGAGTCCTCTGAAAGAACAAGTGGCCTCAACTACTCTCAGGCCCCTATGCTCACTTCTTAACCAGCATTTTTTTTGTAAGGTGAAACGTTTTTTTATTTAACTTTTATTAATTACACTTTGTTCATTTTGTATCCCCCCTTAAGCCCCTCCCTCCTCCCCTCCCGATCCCACCCTCCCTCCTCTTTGTGCATGCATGCCCCTCCCCAAGTCCACTGATAGGGGAGGTCCTCCTCTCCTTCTTTCTGATCTTAGTCTATCAGTTCTGATCAGAAGTGGCTGCATTGTCATCTTCTGGTAAGGCTGCTCCCCCCTCAGGGGGAGGTGATCAAAGAGCAGGCCAATCAGATTATGTCAGAGGCAGTCCCTCTTCCCATTACTATGGAACCCAATGGACACTGAACTGCCATGCCAGTGCAGGGGCTCTAGGTTATCTCCATGAATAGTCTTTGGTTGGAGTATGAGTCTCTGGCAAGTTGCCTGTGTTCAAATTTTCTTGTTCTGTTGCTCTCCTTGTGGAGTTCCTGTCCTCTCCAGCTCTTGCTATTTCCCACTTCTTACATAAAATTCCATTCACTCTGCCTGACAGTTGGCCATCAGGCTCAGCATCTGCTTTGATAGTCTGCAGGGCAGAGGCTTTCAGAGGCCCTCTGTGGCAGGTTCCTAGGTTTTAACCAGCATTTTTAAGCATGGCACCAAATCGTGGAAAAGTATCAAATTTTTCAATTGCATATCAGCTGCTATTTATATTCCATAACATTTAACTTATGCTTCCTTGGGCCAAAAACTTTTAAAAATGGTAAGTTAGATAACACTTATCTTAGTAATAACCTGAAGCCTTTCAAATGATGTGAGAAATAGAGTATCCCTAAATAGTAATTGTACCTTCAGAATAAAATGTCATTTGCACAGTGAGCCTCTCTCTGTGCTGGCTGTGTTAAGTGGGGAAGAGGAGCTGACCTGCAAGCCTGGGATCCTGATATGCAGTGCCCTTTGCAGCCTGTGATTTATATCGCAGCTGGGTCCTGAAACTTTAATGAAGGGAGAGGCCGGGGATGCTAATAGAATCCTGTTAGGTCAAGCTTCCCAGCAACATGGGTCCTGTTTCAGCAGTGCAAAGTGCCTGCTGATAAAACCCTGCCTCAGACAACCTTAGTTCTTCCTTTGTTTCCAAAGCCACTCGAAGGCACCAAAGACATCCCTTTATCATTATGTCTTATTTGGCAAATAAAAGTGTATGTTTATCACGTATAATGTTTTGAAATGTGCGGGCACAGCAAGTTGGCTCATATGCTATCTGCATATGAATTCCCATCCATGGATCTGTTTAGAAAGAACACCTAAAATTACTGCAGTACTTCTCAAGGACACAATACACTCTTAACTATAGTCATCAAGTTCCAACCTAGATTTCAGGATGAAGTTTTATATCCTTTGACCAACAGTGTACCATCCTTCCCTCAGCCCCAGCTCTGGCCACCGCCATCCTCCAACTTTCTAAGAGGTCAGCGGGTTTAGACAGCACATCTTCGTTTGTTATGATATCCAACATTCTGTGCTGGGCTTATTTCACTTCCACGTGAGGTGATGCCAAGTGTGGTTTTCATTTTCATTTCCTCTCTGCTTAGTTGAGGAGAATGCTTTTCCTAAGCCTGTTGGTAAATTTTGTTTCTTCTTCCAGGAGATAGCTCCCCATGGTCTTTGGCCCATTTCAACAGGGCTTTTTGTTTCCTTACTGGTCACTTGTTGACATTTGTTATGTTTCCAAATCTGACCATCTGAGAAGAGAAACCTCAGCTGAGGAATTGCCTCCATCGGATCGGCTTGTAGGCAAACCGGTGGAGCATTTTCTAGATTAGTGATTGATGTGGGAGGATCCAGCCCATTGTGAGCGTTGCCACTCCTTGGCAGGTGGTTCAGGGTTACATAAGAAAACAAACTAAACAAGCCAGAAAGGAGTGTCCTCCATGACCTCTTCTTCAGTTCCCACCTCCAAGTTCCTGCTTCGAGTTCCTGCGCTGGCTTGGCTTGATGATGGACTCTAACCTGTAAAATATAATAAACCCTTCGCCCCCCCCCCAAAGAAAAAAATTGGTTTTGGACAGTGTTTTATCACAGTAACCAAAGGCAAACTAGGACATGGTTTTTTCTCAGACAGTACAATTTAGTGTTTTAAAAATATTTACATATGGATACCAGTGGACTTTAAGGAGCTGCCTTGAATCTGTAGACTTCTTTGTGTGGTGTGAACATTTTAACAATTGTTATTCTTCCTACCCCGAGCCATCAACCTTCTTGCTTGTATATAATAACTAACTTCAGAAAATAAGCTCCATCTTTCATTTCTTGCCGTGCATCTACATTTGAAAGATTTGTTTTGTTAACTTGTTGATGGAGGGGCCAGCAGAGAGATGAAGGAGTTGGCTCCAAGAGCAAGGTAGTCCTGAACAGAGCTCCCAAAGATAATTCACCAAGTTACACATAGATGACTTAGTCTCCTGGGAGCAAGTAGCCACCACAGCTTTCCCAGGCATCAGGGTCCAAGCACCTAGTGTCTATCACTTGTGTCTTTATATTTTTAAAATTATATCTATCCATTTATTTTTAATGATATATATTATGTTTGTGTGCATGCCCTATGAGCACACATGATGCCTGAGGATGCCTAGGTGTTGAACCTCCTGGTGGGAGTTACAGGCTGTTCTGAACTGCTGGAGGGGGATTCTAGGAATAGAACTCAAGATTTCTGTACAGGCAGTGTGCTCTCTTAACGTCTGAGCCATCTTTCCAGCCTCCGTACTTGTATATTCTTATTAATAAAATATATTGTGCCACGAGAGTGTTATATGAAAGTAGTAGTGAATGGGGTTTTCAAAAAAGGTGGATTGTCACAGCCCTAGAACCTGTGACTCTCACATGCACAGGGACAGGGCTGGCTATGCAGGTGATGTGAAGAAAAAGGAAGGTTCCTGTGCTGTCTGCAAAACCCCTGATTGCAGTCCCAGGCACCGTGTAAGAGTAAAGTGGAAAGGGACAGACTGAGAGACAAGAGATGATGGTGCAGAGTGACCATAACTCACCTGAGGCCCTTGCTCAGAGGAAGGGGAACAGAATACTCCCTCCCCCCCACCCAAGGCTGTGGAGAGAGCAAGCCTGCCACCACTGTGGCCATCAACTTCTAGCCTCCAGGACATTGGGAATCTCGTTTCCTTCTATGGTAAAGCACTCAGTTTGTGAAAATATGCTTTTGGATACCCTAGAACAGTAATACAGGACCAAGCAGACTTGCTGGAAAATTCTTTAGTATAGTAAAAAGAAATCAAGCAATTCCAGCCTGCCTTTCATCAGAGATACTGGATTTCTTCTCAGTGTTTCCTGGAAAGAAAATAGGAAGCTGTCCTCCACCACAATGGTTCAAAGTTCATGACAGGCTTGAGACTGTTGCACAAGAATCCACATGTGCATACACACACACACACACACACACACACACACACACACACACGACACCATCCTAAGCTGGGTGACATTATGCCTAAAAATTACTTTGAAAACACTTTGAAAAACACAAGAGAGATAGCTCAGTCACTTAAGTGCTTGCTGAGGTCGGCCCCCAGCACACATGTGAAAAGTCAGGCATGGCTGTACACACCTCTATCCCCAGCACTGGGGATAAGAAGACAGGACATCCTTGGAGATCGATGGCCAGAAAAAGGTAGGCTAATAAGAGAGCCTCAGATCCCAGCAAGAGAGGCTCTCTCAAACAATAAATGGATGATGCCTAAAGAACAATACTGCAGGTTGATTTTATGTCCTCCACATGCTCTGCATGTGAGCACATGCAGACACACACACACACACACACACACATACACACACACACACACACTCGGGAGAGCACATACATCTTCAGCCCTTTGGAGCTCTAGGGAATCAAGATGAAAAATGAAAACTACTTCTATTTTTGTGGCATGTGATGCCAATAATACATCACCTGTTTGGTTTATTTCAGGCGCGGCTGACCAAAGAGCATCGATGGGGGAGCGCCCTGCTCTCCAGAAACCATTCCTTAGAAGAGGAGTTTGAAAGAGCAAAAGCAGCAGTAGAGGTAACTCATAAAACAAAATTCTCTATTTCAAGTTTCTGAGAGTGCCATTCAAGAAACTCCATCTACAGAGAGATGCAGATAAAACAGAACCATAGGTATGCGGAAAACATGAGGATAGTTGTTGAGATGAGAGTGTGACCGAAGAACCTTTGATTCCCCACCAGTGTGTCAGAAAGTGTCTGCTCTTCTGCTTGTTCTTTGGCCAGCTGGTGATGCCAGTCTGAGGCCTGGATCAGAAAGCACCCAGCCTTCGTTCCATGCATCTGTCCAGTGGATAACCCATCTTATCGGGCACCGTTAATTTTTAGGGCAAAGTGTCCAAATATTGTTAATGAGGTTTTGTTTTGTTTTTAAAAACAAAAAACAAAAAACAAAAAAACCTGTATTTGAACACTAATGTCTAATTATTTAATCTTCCAGTGAAAAAGAGGGGAGAGAGGAGGAAGGCCAGAGGAATCAGATGAAAAGCAGTTCTTGCTGGTTCTTTCATCCGTTTGCCTCCTGGCAGGGCTGGCAGGGAGGCTCACGGATGTTGGGTGCTCCTCAAAGCTTCCTCAGGCAGCTGCTTGAGAGTGGAGCTTTCCCACAGGCCCAAGCGTGATCCTGTTAATTCCTTTGTTGCTATCAGTGATTTCAATCTTGAACACTGCAGGCGCTCTGGGAGCATGCCTCACTTAGGTGGCCGTCTCACCCCTAGAATTCAGATGAAATGATTATATTAGGGGTGGTCTTCCAGTAACTCTGTACTCAGGGTGCGGGGAAATCCTATTTGCAATTTAATGTTACAAGGGTCTGTTCTGGGAAATCATCTCAACCATGATTCATGGCATTCAGAAACCCAGTCAGAGCACTCCTTCATCTCCTCATGCCAAAATCGTTCAAATTCCCTCTCAAGTTTTCAACTTCTCTAATTTAAAGAAGAAGATAATGAATATTTTAGTGTTCTGAGCAGGAGTCACTGATGTAGTTAGTTGAGACCAGCTGAGTTCAATCAGATCGCACAAATGCATGGAGCCTGTAGCTTAAATTATCTTAAATGTAAGTTTTTCAGTTTTAAGAGCTAATTTAAATATATCTATTGAGCCCCTACTGTGCCTAGCACACAGCGGTAGCTCTCAGACTGCTATCAAGATGCATAGAAACTTGGGTCAAGAAAGACATTAGCATTTGGTCTCATTTATAATGAGAAAGTTAATGAATTTAAACCCAAAAGACTTCATGGTGGAACTGATTGACAAGGAAAATGTACTACAGTGTATATTGATTGAGCTGAATCTCTGAGTTTGGACCATAATCTTAAAACCTCTCTCTCCTACTAAGCAAACTTTTTTTTAAACTCTTGACAAATTACTTCTGTTTCTACCTGGACATATACAATTAGGGGCAACCTCCTTCTCTTCGAGGAAACCCATTTCCATCTTGAAAGCTACTAATTATCAATGGGCTCTTTCTTATGCTGAAAATGGCATAACGAGAAATTTTCCATTTTGCCCGGGGCTGACTCTCCTCACTTGCGTCCATCTCCAAACAATACTCGCTTCACCCCACCAAGCTGAGTGTTCTACCTTCCCTGTCTCTCCTGGAGCCTTATTCTAATGCTTCCATACCAGCTACAGGACAGCACCATGTCAGTAGCCAGTCTAGCCCTCGGTGTCCACACCGCTGCGGTTTTTCTCAGCCTCAGATCCCAGGAGTCTGGAAGTTACATTAGTAGCTGTTTATTTAGCACACAGTCCTGGCTGCCTGCAAGTACCAGCTGCTGAACTAAGGGCTAAAGACAAAAGACCAAGCCTTAAATGACAGCAGAGCAGACCACCAGCCTGGATCAGCCTCTTGCTCCTGCCACTGGAGTTCCATACATTTGTGAGATGAGTGCTTAGATTTCTCCTATCCCAAAACCCAAGAAGTTCATGCCTTAAAATGAAAAAAAAAAAAAAAGAAAGAAAGAAAAAGAAAGTAGGGATGGGATTCCCAGCTAATCAAAAAGTTGAACACCTTTCTTCATCCTGGTGTTGAAAAACCTCAAGGATCCAGGAGAGATAATGGGTATTGAAGGTATAAACAGTTATAGAGGAAAAACCGAGAGGTAAGCTGATGATAAATCATGCCTATAAAACTTAATGCATCTGTGGGCTTTTTGCCTCCATATTACTCTTACTTGGAGTGTTATCTGCATTCAGGGCAGAAGATATAACCACATGCCTTTTCAGACTCTCTAGCTCCTAAAATTGTCACCCTGGGGGTGAGTTCAGCATATGGCTCTTGGAAGAATGCCTTCCCAAGCTACAGAGCATACGTATGACCAAATGTTCATGGCAGTTATTCTTTAATGGCTACACTTGGGGGTAGATTATTTGATTCTTTTGTCTTGTCTTCATTTTTCCTTAGCCTGTCATATTGCTAATCAGAAGGAGTCTTACAGTGAGGTGTGAGATTCTTAATTATGTTTTTGTTTATTTTTTCACCACACGTGTGCATATGTGAGGGTCTGAGGACAGCTTGCAGGTGTTGTTTCTCTCCTTCCTCCGTGTGGGTACCTGGGCTTGAACTCAGGTCCTCAGGTTTGGGAGCAAGTGCCTTTGCCCACTGAGCCAAATTCACTGGCCCCCGAATGTAAGATTCTTAAAAGTCACTGAGAATATCAGTTGGTAGAATGCCTGCCTTAGATTCAGGAGGCTATGAGTTCTGTTTCCAGCACTGCGTGAACCAAATGTGGTGGCACACACCCATAATTGCAGCACTCAGGAAATGGAGGCAGGAGATTCAGGAACTCAAGGTCATCCTCAGCTGCATAGAACACTGGAGAATGCATAAGATCCAGTCTCAAGAGAAAAGGACTAATTGTGAATGAGGTCTGCAGGAGTGGAAGAGGTTAGAGAGGATAGTGAGAATGTGATCACATACATTGGCATGAAATTGTCAAAAGTAAGATGCAAAGTAAAAATACATAAAAAGGAAAACTGGCACTGCCAATTGTTTCTTGAAAGGCAGTTCTAAATACCAGCAAGATGCAGATGAAGGCAGCTAGAAGATGTAGCTCAGCGGCCAAGGCCATGTACTTCACTTGCAGAGGACCGAAGTTCAGTTCCCATCACCCACATCAGATAGCTTACAACTATATATAACTCCGGCTCCAGGGAATCTGATGCCCTGCTCTGGCCTCCACAAGCACCTGCCCTTGCCTAAACAAAACTCTCCTGCAGACACATGCACACACATAATTAAAAAAGAAAATAAACCTGGGGCCTTTCCACCCGTTCCCTCTCTTCTTGGTCCCACTCTACTCTCCACCTGGTCCCTCTCCACCTGGTCTACTCCCCACCGGGTGGTCTACTCTCCACTTGGTCTACTCTTCACCTGGTTCACTCTCCACCTGGTCCACTCTCCACCTGGTCCCTTTCCACATGGTTCTACTCCACTCTCCACCTGGTCCTTCTCCACCTGGTTTACTCTCCACCTGACTCTTCACCTCCTAGTTCCTGTCTATCTTCTGCCCTTCAGTCCCATCCCTGAACTGTAACACTCCAAGTTCATTAGCCATGCTTCCAGTTTCTATTTTCTGTGGGAGCATCCTTCTCCCAGGTCCTCATGTGGTAGGGTCCTTCATTTCACTCACACTGTAGCTAAAGTGCCTGTCCTACAGAAAAGCCCATGCAGTCCCCATTAACTGTTACATCACCAGGGATTGTCTTGCTTTGCATTCATCATTAGCTCTGTCCTTATAAATTTTGTCTGTTATATGTCTTTTTCCTCAAAGTGTGACTTCCATGAGAGATGAAGCTTTATACTGTATTTGTCTGTGTGAAATAAAAAATATGCTACTTCATTGACTTTGCATGCACACTAAATGGTGGTTAGTTTACGTTGTCAACTTAGTACAACCTAGAGTCCCTAGGGAAGAGGGAACCTCAATTAGTAATTGTCACATGAGATTGGCCTATGGTCATGTCTATCATGAGAGGGCCAGGCCCACTGTGGGCAGCACCATCCGTTGGCAGCTGATCTGTGAAGTATAAGAAAGCTAGCTGAGCATGAGCCAGTCAGCAGACCAGCACTCAGCACTCCTCCTTCTATCTACTTCAAGCTCCTCCCTTTGTCCCTGCCTTAACTTCCCTCAATAGTGGACTGATAAGTCAGAAACATAATATGAAATAGACCTTTTCCTTCCCATGTTGTTCGGTCATTTTGTTTACCATAGCAACAGAAAGTAAACCAAAGCACAGCACCCCAATATCTTACGGTCCTTAGCATATGCTGAGTGGCCAGTTGGGTATTGACCACCACATGGTAATACTTCCTTCTGTCTCTTTCCTGTTGAATATAAAGTGTCATATAACCTTCTGTTGTAGGAGGAGCTTCATTTGGACAGCATTCTTAACATGATACACAGCCATGTAAGGACTGTGGTGAATCGTCTGTCCCCTGTGGTTGTCTCTACCTCAGTGTCAGTAACATATTTACAGTAACACAGGACATTGCCAACCAATCCTGCCATGAAGTAGCACTGACATATTCTATATTCACATTGTGTAAACTCACTTTTACTTGCACTGAGATCTAAAACCCTTTAGTTCATTTTTTAAGATAAAAAGAACACACACATGAAAATAGACACACATTTATCGCATATGTAGATGACCTAGGAGCCTGTTAACATTCAGAGGCTGGCACTGTTTGAGATCACCTTGAGCTACTCCTTCTGGCAGTGCTTCTTAATGGGGGAGACATTTTTCCTCCATCTCTTACTTTCTACTGAAGAAAAATAAAAATACAAATTCGCTTCTATCCAAAGAATCATAATTTTCAAACAAACAGCTGGTATTTTCTTCTGGGGTTTGAAAAACTATGAATCTTCCCTGTGTTAAAAGGCAGAGGCACTTCATGCTTCCTTCTGGATTTCTTCACAGTCATTCTTATAACTGCTGTTAGCTGTGGTTGGTACCTAGGATAGATGCACAGAGAGGCACAGGAAAGAGGTGCAGACAAGGTGTCCCAAGGGC